CGTTATCAAGAATAGACACGGTGCGTCGAATGGCGATGACGGATAAACGCCTTTGCAATCTCGCTTTCTTGGCATTCGAGAAAAATAAACTTAACACATTGGATGAAAATGCAATTATCCGAAAATTCAACGACAAAAGCAGACGATTAAAATTATTTTAAAATGTGATGAATCAGATCCTATTTTTGTTTTCCATTTCATTTGTTTGCTATTTCAAATTATGTCAACATTATTGAACATTACAATTACCATTATATTTTCAAATCAACAATTATGTTGTCGCAATAGTAACTTTGAATTTTATATTTGATCTTCAATAAACTAGAAATATTTGGTTATCCAAACATTACAAATTGTTGTTATTGTTACAAAACACCTATTCTTTTTCAGCACCGCCAAAAATTTATTGAGCACCACCAAAGAAAAATTTCTGGCTACGGCACTGTACAGTTTTAAATTAAAATCGTACATAAATTGTCCATACAAATAGCTAAAAACAGTCCAATTTCCATTGGTTTAGTGTAGTGTGTATTTTCAGTGCCTCTATTAAAATGGAACTTTGCCGGATTTTTTGTTTTGTTCGATTTAAATACTTTCTCCAACGTAATTTTAAAAGTGTTGAGCAGTTCAGTTTATGGTTCATTTTTATTGGTTTGAAACAATGGTTTCCAAAACAAAAAAAACGAAAAATGAAAATAGGTGGAATCCTGAAATTTCCGCCTGGAATTCAGTTCATCATGGCACGTGGTCACACAATTTCATATTTTAATTTCTTCGATCCAAAGTATGCTGACTTGGCCAAGGAGCTGATGAAGAGGAAGTACGATTTGAAAATGTTTAAGTCCATATACGGTAACTCTGACGATTTGTGGAAAAAAAAGTGTCAAACGAAGTCAACACAAAAAAATTGTTGGATTCGTTGCAAGCCATGACTGTTCAAAACGTACCAAGCAAAGGCACTGCAAATTGGGCGGTACCACTTGAGGTTCAGAGATGTTCTGCTTTTCGGAGTCGTGCTTGATTCAGAAAACCGTCAAATGATTTTCTTTGAACATGCAAATAAGTTGCATGAAAATGTTGTTGCATTGATTTTGGCATTTGGCCCGAATGTGTGTGCTATCGTCAGAAAAACCGACTTCGATCGAACGGACAATTTGATTTTTCATATTGGTATGAACAGATTTTGGTCTTCACACGACTCTGACGGTGCCCATTGTTACGAAGTGACACTTTGCCCTGCAAATATTTTGATCATGTATAAAAAAGTTAAATAAAGCCAGAAACCAAACTAATTTGGGTTTTTTTCTGAATTGATTGGAAATCGGTTCGATTTTATTACAATATCAAACGAATGTTGGCATGAAATCGAAATTTTGTTTATAGAACACACAGCGCACTCAAAGTTGTGTGAGTAAGTGCTGAACCCGTGCAGATTGCTTTTAGCAGCTTTTTTCGTTGCTTGTTCTAAAAGCACAAACGCGATAAACTGAGGGAGTAGAACGGATCAGTTTCAAGTTTCTTTCAACAGATGGACATGGCGCGGAAAGAAAAAAAAACTTTCAAACACGAGCTCTTCATTCAGTAGTTTTAGTTTGAAAACGAGAACATTGAGCATATGCTCTGTCAATCAGATTGCCTCTTCTCTCGTACAATTTTCGCGTTAAACGGAAGTTCTTTGGGATATGAAAGAAAAAACGGAAATTTTATTCGTTACATAATTTATTTTGAGTTTTTGATTATACACATGGAATGCAGTTTACATAATCTTGATTTTTTTTTTAATTTTCATTAAACTCACAGTGAAATCTGAGTATTTCGTACATTTAACTAATTTGAATTATAATCATTCATATTTATCAGGGTGAAAATAGTATACAAATACTTTATATAGATCAATTAAAAAAACCGAAAAAAACTGCAATTGTTTTCAAAAAGGAATTTGGGCAATCAAAAGAGATTTCAATGATATTTGTTCATTTTTCCAAAAAGGTGGTTTGATTCTTTGGTGAACTGGTTCTGTCTGATGACCACCAAAGTTGGGATTTTTTTCAATCAAAAATATCGATTCGACCATTTTGTGCTTTATACTTTCATTAAAGTGTCATCGTGGAGTGCAATCAGAGAGCACTATTGTTAAAATGTGGGTATAATAATGCAATATACATTTCGAATTACAATAAAATTGTCTATTAAAAGTTAATTTGTAGTAGTTGTATTCCATCCGTCCGTCTGCTTAAAATAACTATGTTTGTCATCATGTATTAATTTCAATATTTTTTTTATTTAGTTTGCATTTGTTCATTTGTTTGTTTTTTGTTGTTGTTGATTTGTTTTTGATACAGTATTCAAAAATACACATTACACATAAAGAACCTTAACTAATTTTCAGAACAAACTAAAACCCTATCAAATAGTCTTATCGCAAAGTGTTTTTTGTAGTTTTTTTTCATTTAGATTATAAGATATAGAGTGTTTTTTTATTTAAGTAATTTTCTTTTTAGCATTTTTTTATATATAGAGAGAACTTAATTCAAATGATTCTAAATTGTAGCATCAGCATAGATTCTTCTCTCGTTCATTCTAAAACATCATACTAAAAATTATTTGTGTGTTTGTGTGTGTGTTAAAAATTTTCAATTGTCTTATCAATCAATGAAAACTCGATTATTGCTATTCACTTGTGAACATTGAACCAAGAGTCAAATACAGAATACTGCCGCATTTTCATAAATCGCGTTGACAAAATGTAAATTAAAATCAAGAACTTCTCTCGAGGTTATCTTTATCCGACAGATTTTTTAAATATAATATTTAGAGATTTCTTTTTTTCTTTCGTGAGATCACGACCAACAAAACTTTTATCATCTTATTTGATATACAGTAAATTTCATTTTTAGAGGGATTTCCTTTGTTCAAACGCAATTATCGCTGATTTTTATTTCTTGGATTTTTTCACAGTGTGTGATTAAACATTACATGTACAATTTTACTTGAGGAGAAAAAAATCACTTCCGTCAAGCCCGTACTTTAAATCAGGTGCGTTGCATTTTTTAATGTTAAATATTTAAAACAATATTCAAAACTTAAAACCAACTGATAGGGAAGTGATGTTCACTGTGAATTGCTTTTGTGCTAGATGTGTTTTTTAGTTTGTTTTTCGTTCAAACATCGTTTGAATCATGGTTTATTTCTATCGGTGGTTTTACCAAGTCAGAAATAGAAAAAAAATTATTCAGGTGAAATTATTTATTGCAAGACAAAAAAAAGATAGAGAAAAATAAGATTGAAAATCGGTCGTCACTGTTCATGGGTTTTTGAGCATTCGATTTAAAACTTAAGAACACAAAATAAACATGTCTAAAAATTTACACAATTGTTTTTTTTTTTCTTGATAAAATCATCACGGCAGACGATCATTGGCTTCCTATTTACACCAATCTATAAATAATATGCCATATTAATTACGAAGTACTTGCATTTTTTTTGCTTGCATGTAGAGTTTTTTTCCCTCTTTTAAATACTAAACATTTCAATCCTGAATTTTTGTTTGTTTCTTTATTGTTCATCAACTACATTAATGCTGTTGCGTTCGAAATTTTTTTTTCTCGTCGGACGAATCATAGAAAATGAAACAAAAACTGAAATCAATGTATTACAATACTGTCAGATGAACGTAAAGAAAATCAAAAACATAAGCCCTGTGACATCCGAATTTGTTTGTCGGTTCTTTAAACTTACGGTTTAACTATTTTTTTTATTTATAGCAAAATGTATAATTTTTTTGTCTGTTTACTTGCAACCACATAAAATTATATACAAATAAAATATTCGTGACCGAGAAAAAAAAAGAATAAATCTTAACAAACAAAACTATTGAACGGAACGAAAATAAATTCGATGAATCTAGAAGTCGGCGCCAGGTTAAAAAAGTAAATATGCAATAGCAACAAATAATATAGTAAAGGAGAAAAAAAACACATATATAACCCAATTGATTATTACAAATAGAGGAATTTCTTTGTATCTCGATATGATAAAATCATTCTGTCGTGAAAATTATTATATGCAGATGAATTCAATCTTGGATGAATTACACACACTTTCTTTCTATCCGTCTCCCACGCTCTACTCGTATTATCATTTAAAAGAGAAAGGATTCTGTTTGTTGTTTCATTTTTCTTTTTTTTAAGTCATTTACCTTACACACTAATTGTCTTACATACTAAATGCTTTTCGAATACTGATTTGGAGAAAATGATTTAAACACTGGCCTGGAAAAACACATCGCCAAAATGTTGCGAATCATGAATACGATTGATGCCGTGCTTCTTGTTTCGACATTTTAGCGACACTTACACTAAAAACTCTATTTACAGAAAAATACACGAACTGTTAGTTCGCTGACATAATTTCTTCTTTTTTTGGAGGATGTGGGAACATTAATTTCACTATAGATTTTGGAACATTATCATTTTTTTTTTCATATGTGCTTCTACTCAAATTAATAGCTTCAAACATACATTTATAGAAATCAAATGAAAGAGGGAGAAAAAAACGTAAAAAAAAATTAAAAGTTTTGAACGAAAATTAAATGATATATAACGTAACCAAAAGAAAAAAAGTATATAGGATTTTCAGCGATAGCAGCTCGTGTACTTTGCCAGTGATATAAATCAAGTTGCATTCGATCAAAAGAACGGTATCCACGTTGCCACTGTGTGTATTCGCAACGTGAATATCGCCTTTTCATCGAATGCACGCCCAATAGCAGCTGATTGTGGTCACAGCATAGTCAATGCACTCGCACTGTCGTACAATGCACACATACTATACTGTGATTGATCAGAACTCTTGCGGATACTTTGAAGAATCAGAATGATTGAATATGGTTGTATTCGAACTATCCTGATTATTCTGGTAGCCTTGATATGGTTCCTGTTGATACAGCTGATTGAGTCTCTAACCAGTACTCGAAAAGTGCCACGCGTCCTATGCACTCAAATGAGCAAACTGTGACGGATGGATATCGAATTGGTATGGATGGCCATACGGTGACATGTGGTACGGGACAATGTTCATCGATGCCATTTTATGCTCCTTTTTCCATTTCATACGGCGATTCTGAAACCAAATCTTGATCTGACGCTCGGTGAGACACAGGGCATGGGCGATTTCGATGCGTCGTCGTCGGGTCAGGTAACGGTTAAAATGAAATTCCTTCTCTAGCTCAAGCGTTTGATATCTCGTGTAAGAAGTCCTGCGGATGGAAACAAAAACAGAGAGACATAATGAATTAGCCCTTTGCTAAAAACACAATTTCAACGAGGCCCGACAAAGAGACACACGCAGGGAAAAAAGATTCCCATTCATTAATATGGATGCATTTTGAATGATACAAAAAACAAAAACATTGAGTGAACTACAGGAAAGGATGATGTAATTATAGTCCATCATAGGCGAGGACAAGGAAATAAATATAAAAAAAATTTCTTTTAATCCATTTTTTTCAATTAAAGATTTTATAGCATTTATATTTCTATTTATTACCTTTGACGTTTTGTTTCACCATTTGCATTTACAGTACCTAGAATGAAAGAATGATCGAGAAAAAAAAACGAAGACATTAATAAAATTAATCAAAGAGGCTGTGCGCGTTACGAGCAGAAAAAAAGGAAAAACCGTGTTGATTTATTATTATTTGCTTGAATAGTGTATTTGGCGTGTCAATGTACCGATTTAATGAATGCATTGAAAACTTGCAAGTGTCTCACAGTTTTGCAAGATGTTTGACCACTTTCGTTAAATTAAATCGTCCACATCTGAAAATTGTGCGTGTCACACAACCATTGGTTCATTAAAATGACAACGGTTCTGAATACGTTATGCGAAAGATGAATTGAATTTTCGTGACATTGAAAAACATCTTGCGGACAAATATCGAACGAGTCGACTGAAAGTGAATTTTGTTTAAGACGATTTTCTTTTTTCTGGTCTCGAAGTGACCTGATACATTTTCTGAACGAGGAGTTAATTTGAGCACATTCTTATAATCCTTTCTCATATTCAACAGCCATGAAAAGTCATTAATATCTGTTTCACATGATGCGCGTATTACATTCAATCATAAATGATTAGTGGTTTAAGTATCAACATTTCGGGCGGGGAATTTCTGCACTGGCCTTTGTTTTGTCTGCACAGCTTTGAAAGCGTGGTTTGGCCAAAATCCGAACATGCTCATGTACTACGTCGATTCTAATCCCTTTTAATTATAGCTAATTAATAGCATGTCATTTGAAATTTATTGTCCCATGCGGAATGTGTGCGGTGGCTTGTCGATAGATTTGTCGATTCGTTTGGTATTGACTCTGTTTCTGCCATTTCAAAATCGTTTAAATTGAGTTCAGTATTGCTACAGCGTCCGTGCAATTACACCAACACACTTCCGCTTCAGAAATTAACGCGCTAGCAATTTTTTCTTATTGCTTCTCTCCTGAATTTTGTCATAGTCATAGCTCACATAGTCTTTGACTTAATCCCATCCGAATGCTTTTTTACAGCTCATAATTTGTCTGTCGATGGATTTCGAAAATAGCGTTTTTTTCTGTTTTCTGTTTGTTTGTTTCACATCTCGTGCGCGCTTTGTGTGTGATATGTCACCAACTCATCTTGTGGATGTGGCGACAAATTTATTAATGATTTTTTAAACACAAATATTCTAATGCCTTGGCATGATACTCAAACAAAAGGAACATATGTTTTTGAGCTCATTTCACATCCATTCAATAAATATGTGTCAAAGAAACCGCAGACCAACGACCACGTTCCAAACACTCAATTCATTTTCAAACGCAATGAGCTCTCGTCAAAGCATCATCTTTTTGTTGGTCTCCAAAAAAACACACACAATTTTTCGAGATGATTTATTACTGATTGCTTAATCCTGTGGACATTTTTATTCGCAAAGCCAGTTTCGTTTTTCAAACGGCTGTTTCTGGCCATAAATTTGATCCAACAAAAAATTGGAACCACCATGGCACACATTTTACTACTTCAAATGCATTCCGTGCTCAATGTATGGAAATGCAATAGTTTCAATATAAATATCATTTATTATTCGTATCATTCGGGAGCAATTCGTTAGGCCGTCACCGGGAGATTTCACTTAAAAATCAATTTTCACACATTTCAAGATGTTTATCGTTGAGTTGATTAGAAAAAAATCGTTTAGTGAACATTTTGATGCGACTGGCCGTTGATGGATTTGTAATTGGTTTCTGTTAAATGTTGAAGAATATCACACATCGCACACCTTGCACATACACATCCAGTGCTCGGCAGCAACCACAAAATGTCAAGCAGCTTAATAGTGTGTTTTTTTGTTCTTGCTTTTTTTTTTGCTCTTTCACATTCGTTTTTCTGCTCAAAATGCCGTACAAATCGACCGCACGCGCTTTGTTTTCGTGTGTATACGTAAGACGGTTCGTTTCTTCCACTTAATAAATATTATTTTCCTTTCGTGTGTATTTGTGATGATAGCTGCGCTAGTTCTCAGGGGACAGTAGAATGTTTATTAGAGGAATATTCTCTTTCCATTCACTCACTCGTTGTTTTTCTCATTGTGTGTTTACACTTAAGCCCAAGCATTTATGTGAATTGACTGTGTACTCTTACACTTGCATCGGAATTGTGTGTATTCATAAAGAAGATTAATGGTTAGTTCGTTTCAAGTGTGTAGTTTTCTCTGTTATTCATTACGTTTTACAACACAGATCTGGATCCATCATCGAAACCGAAGCAGCGAAAAGCACACACACACACACTGAGCCAAAGCGACAAACGCACAATGCAAATCAAAATGAATTCGTTCGATATGTATTCAAATGCCAAACAAATGCTTTCATCGCATCGCTTTGATGCAGCAGCAGCTCAGAAGAAACAGGCGCAAATTGAAACGAACGTTTGAATTGAGAGACCGATGAATTGGACTGTGATATTCGCTTTGTTTATGTATCTCGCACGCGCTCCTTTCAATCTTTTGACATGATTGCACACAGCGAAAACCCCATTTCACTGCACTTCATTAGCTCATGATGACGTTGTGGAACAAGTGTTTGTCGCTTGTCTTTGTCGAAAGTGTGCTTGACTCACTGAACTCGAACGATTTTCAACATTTCAACATGGCTTTTTATAGTCGCATTTTTGGAGCATTCACTTCAAATATAAGGAATGTGATTTAAAATCAGTTCGACCTTTTAATTTGTGGGGAATTTGGTTTTTCTGAAGTTTAAATGCAAAATTTGCAAAAATTGCTAATGAACTCCTTTTGAAGTCGGCAGACTAAGATCAATCGATATATCCGATTCGCCATTCGATTGAGCCAATCAATAGAAATTCAAAAGTTTGCCATTCCAGACGCTATTGTTATTGTTGCGCTGGATAAAATGCTCCACATCTCATCTGTGTTTATACATTCAATTTAGTTCAATAACAGTCATTTTATTCCTCATCTACGTCACTTGTTATTTGAACCTTTCCGTTGGAAAAATGATTAATCAATTCGAGTTGGAATTCTTTTGAAATGAAAAGAAGGTCGATGCGTCAGAGGCGCATTGATGTTTTCCATAAAATTAATGATTTCGTACACTTTGAACGAAGACGAAGCGACAGTTTACAATGGTAATCGTACATACACCGCACTTAAATCGCCTTTTTTCGGTATCGATTTCCATCGATCGGGCCAGATTGTGCGCGTCTTTGGCATTCCATGTGCTCTGGCAAACGGCAGCAAAGTGGCGCTAAGCCAGAGAACAACATACAAACAAAATAAATAAATTCCATTTCAATTTTGGGTTTGTAAAGTGTATGCAAATGGAAAAAATTCCAACGGTTCAGTGAAATGTTCAAAATGAAATTCTGTCGATTGCAGTCTTGAACAAGCATATGCAAATATTTGAAATGTATATGTACTTCTGTCAAATGTAACACATTTTCCATTTTACGACCACCACCGGTGAGTGTGGAACGTATCGTAAAATAAAGAGCGTATTACATTTGGTTCGACAGCAAAGAATACGACATTCATCAATCAAATTTTGCCTTGTTTCATTTCTCCAATGCACAGGCCCGGCACACGCACACAAAGGCAACCCGTAGCACTCGAGTTCATTGGCAGCATAATAATGCGACGAGTGGCTAAAAAAATGTCTACGGCAAACACATAACGAAACAACAGCCAAAGAAACACAAAGTGAATCGCAACCAAATGAAAAAAGGAAAAAACGAAACAGATTCAGCAGTTCGCTTAAACTTGTGCATTAAATTTCGAGCGCTTATAACAATGCGAACGCCACTTTGGTAGTAGTGTAGCAAATAATTTCCATTTCAACGAAGAAAAAAATTGTGAAAAGAATTCGACGAATTTTCCCAGTATTTTTTTTCTTCGTAAGATCGGGAAAATACCCCATTGCATGGAGATATTGCAAACACCAAAAAACAAATGATGTGTATATTGAGAGCTTGGCACACAGAACATTTCGTGCTATTGATATGTTTTTGACTATATCGAAAACCATTCGGCTTGTTCCGTGCCTTTTTCCGGATTTGTTTGCCCAAGTCGATTGTAATGTTATTAGGCAATCCGGTAACGTGTTGGTTAACATGGCATATTATGTGTGTGTGTGTGTACTTTTCCGTTTCTTTTTTCCCGCCATCGTTTTTTCAGTTCGTTTTTCATTTTCACATCTTATAAAAGGGAGTCCTTTTTCCATATGTCGTAAGCAATTCGCCCGTTTTTCTCTCTCTCTGTATTCACAATATTCTAGACGGCAAAACATTATGATGCAATCTCTTTCTCTTGACGAAGCGCACGGAAGCGAGAGCACACACAAATTTGGTGATGTTTTATTTGAATGAACAGTGTTGGCTGCTGCGTCGTCGTTATTAATGGTTTTTGACCATAAACTGATAAATTATGGATTGTTTTGGATGAGTGTCAGTGGTCTCGAAATGTTTTCTCTCTTTCTGTCTTTCAATTTCAATTTTCGTATCTGTCAAATGTGAACGTTTTATTGTTTTTCCCGTCTTTATGACACACTCAGTTCGGGTTAGGTCAGTGTCTTGTTTTTTTTTATCTTCTGCTCCTCCTTTACTTCTCTTGCAAAAATACTATTTATCGATTTTTCAGTGCGAGAAATTGTTTTTTATCATCGATTTTTGCCCTTGACGTTGTGTACGTTTGCCTTCTTCGGATTGTTGACTGGCTCGAAACGCTTGAAACGTAGTAGGAAACAATTTAATTTAAATTCAAAATCGCTTTATCGACACGATCATTCAAACTAAATGCGTTTGACTGACGTTTATAGTGCATGTGAAATTATGGCGAGGCTTCTGTGAGTGAGATGCAGAGCGAAGCAGTGTACGCAACGAATGTGTTGACGAGCAAGTGCCTGCACATAAATGCAACGTATAACGACGTTTGACAAGAAAATTTCTTGTATTTCATAGAGAATGTCAGCAACTTTGTTTTCGCTCGAGGCACACATTTTGATTTCTAAATATATAATTATTATTGTAATCCTGTCGTCA